AAGTGGCTGTTGGGGAGCAGCTGGAGGGACTGGGTGTAGAGGGCGCTGCTTAAGGCGGTCCGGGATCAGCCCACTGAGGTTTCTGAGCGACGGGGGCTGCAATACCACTGGAGAGCTGGACTTGGGCCAGGGGTCGCCGCACAGCCCTGTCGCCCACCCTCTTCTGCCGCACTTAGCTGAATGCAGGAAAAGCTTCTCCCGCCCCCCTCTGCCCTGGCTTCGCCTCACCCACTCTTCTGCTGCGCGGTCCCCCCTCCCTGGGAGCACTTAGCCGGCTAATGGGCCTCCCGCCGGCAGGCGCCCCTCCCCCGTCCCTGGCCCAGGGAGGCCGGGCGCCTGCCACCTCCTCTGAGGACCCAAGCATCCTGGTCTTCGAGAGTGGGCCCTAGAACAGCCCCCTTCTTGTTGCCGCAGACTCCCATGACTGGAGCCTGACTGTGAGCCTCTTGGCTGGGAACCGCGGGGGGGACGCTGTTGTCTGCCTAGAGGGGTCAGAAGCTTTGCGGGTGTCCCCAGACAGGAGGGTTGAGGAGGGGCTCTGCAGTGCCTGGCCCACAGCAGGTGCCCTGAAATCTGCGTTCCAGGGATGGGAGCGGGGAAGGCGCATGGGCAATGGGATGGGTGGGGGCTGCAGCCCCTCCCGCAGGGCTTGGCTGGTGGGGGGGGTTCCTGCCTGGGGGCCCCTGTGGGAGCCCCCCCAATACAGAGGCAGTAACAGCAGCAGGTTTAAAGTAGAACTCATCCAGAGGGGCCAGCCAAGTCACCTAGAAACCCAGAAAGAGATGCAGCTGGCTCTGGGGGAGGAGGGGTCAGCGGAGGAGGCACTCCCCTGCAGGCCCCTTTGCCCCAGGCTCTGAGACCCCCACAAGGACCCCTGCCTGGCCCTGGCCTTCCTCCACACCCCACCAAGTTCTCCATCAAGTCTAACCTAGCAGATCTCCTAGCTCTCAGCCCTGGCCTTGTGGGGTGTGATTACGATCTCCACTTGAGGCCCAGAGAGGGGAAGGGACTTGCCCAAGGTCACACGGCTTCTTAGGAGGATTTCAACCCTCCCACTTCCTGAGGCCCAGGAGCCTCTAGACCTCATTGGGAAAACAGAGCCATGCAAGGTGGAGCTTGGCCTCTGCCCTCACAGGCTGGAGTTCAAGTCCGGCTCTTACTAGCAGCCTCTTGCTAGTGGCAGAACCTAGTCTCTCTAGGTGCCTCAGTCACCTTGTCCGGAACCTAAAGGTTGTTAGATACATAAGCAAATGGGTGGGACATGAGTGGCTGGAAGCTGTGGGGACACCAGGGAGGGAGCAAAGGGCATAGGTCGGCTCTGGGGCAGGGGAACCTCCAGCCTGTGCCAGGGCTAGCAAAGCCTGGAGCCAAGGCTTTAGCTTAGGGGGTCTCAGCTGTGGGCGCTAGGCCTTGGGCAAGGGTACTTTAGAGAAGCATTGGGCGGCAGCTCCTTGGGGAAAAATTTCCTGGGCTTAAGCCTCTCTCCTCCCCCAGCCCTGTGTCTCCGGAGGCCAGGGCAGCCCCCATTACAGGGCTCCTTCCTTCCCAGACACTTCCATCCTTGGTAACGGTAATAGGGTTTCTCAGCAGGCAGTAATGGTGAAGGCAGGAAGCCTTTCCGGACTCTCCCCTTGATGAAGGAGCGGTCTTGACCCACAGGACCCTCCCCAGAGCCTCTGCTTCAATGATGTACTCTAATGGAGGGGGGGCTGGGGCCCTGGGAGGGGTAGGGCCGAGGAGGCCACAGCCTGAGGCTAGAAGGAGGAGGAGCAGTGGTACACTCCAGTCCCAGTAGGGCTCAGGCAGGAGGGCCAGGGCTGGGCACGGGTCCCAACCACAAGAGGTCAGGACCGCAAGCCCCGTGAAGAGGCTCTGGGCAGGTAAATGACTTGCAAACAGCCTCCCAGCCCATGGGGCAGAGCCAGGATTTGAACCCAGTTCTTCTACTCCAAGACTAAGGTTCTGTGGCCCAGCTTCCAAGCAGGTGGCAGGCCAGCATGCCCACCTACACCAAGTCATCTTGGGTGGATAGCCATGGGAACTGGACAGGAATCTGGGTGTGCCTGGGCATGGCACAGGAGGGGGAAAGAGGGAGAGTCAGGAAGAATGCCTGACCTGTGGACATGGCCGGTGACCTTCACACCAACCCTGAGGGAGGACAGACAGAAAGGTCAGTGCTCAGGGTCACAGCATCTTGGGGGCAGAGCTAGGGCTGGAGGTCCTCATGGCCTCCAGGCCCCACTTCCACAGAAGCTGTTGGGCATTAGGGGCTGTTTGAGGGTCTTCCCCTTTAATCCGTGTGCACCTGCAAGGTGCAAACAATGCTTGGGTTCAGAGGAAGCTGGCCTGGCCTGGTGGGGTGTGGTGGGAAATTTGGACTGGGGTCAAGTGATCCTCCTGTCAGGCCAGGCTTAGGGCAGGAGGCCAGGCCACAGACGGGGCTCCCGGTGGAGAGGGTGGATCCTGTCTAATCCGCAAGAGTGAGGGTCAGCCCTTCCTCGGGGCCCAGACTGGCTGAAGGGAGGCTGAGGCCAGAGGAGGGGCACAGGAAGGGGAGGGGTCAGCTCACTCTACCCTTCCCTGAACTGAGCCCTGTGAGCCCATCGCCCTTACAATGCCCAGCCTCAGTCTTCTCTTTGTCTCTTCTCTCTGACTGTAGGGCAAAGGAGGAGCCCAACGTCCTGGGTTGGAGTTTGGATGCAGCCCCAGCTGTGTGACCCCGGGGCCAATCCCAATCCATCTCTGAACCCCACCCACTGCAGAGGGCTTCCCCCCACAACATCCAAAGAGTGTCTGTGAGGGGCTGGAGCAGAAACATTGCCTCTCAGATCCAAGACCCTGTTTGGGATGGCACAAGGTGAGCCTGCCTTCCACAGAAATATCCCCTGGGAGCTGCGCAGCCTTACTGGGTGGTGTCTACAGGGAGGCGAGAAGGTTGAGTAGAGACTTCGTGTCGGGGGTTTGAGCTACACAGCCTGGGTTCAAAGTCTCATCTCCCGTTTTATCTAGAAGTGCGACTTAATTAACCTCTGTGGTGTAGTAATTGAACTTTCTACGAATTTTCCTATTTAATCTTTGTTACAACCTTCTGAGGAAATGCAGGCACAGAGGAAGCCATTCATTCTTTCAAAATCATTTGTTCAACCAATGCGGCGACCTACTGAGTGTGACATAGTTCTAGGTGCTGGGGTTCAGCGGGAACCAGATAATTTGCCTAATAGCAGTGTATTTGAAGACCATTCAAGCCTGGTGGCACCAGCAGGCCATGTCCAAGCAGGGCTCAGCCCCACGGAACTCACAATCTAAAAGTGGGAGACAGACAATAAACGAATGAATGAGGCCATTTAAAGATGCAGAAAATCAAGTAGAGGAGGGAACGGGATGCGCCGTCCACTTATAGGAGGTGAGCCAGGGCTATGTGAAGGACCGAGGGGCCGCAGGGCTGGGGTGCAGAAGTCCCGGCACGGCCCCCTCTCGGCGGAGCCGACTGGGCGGCGGTCCGGACGCACGCTTGTAGGGGCAGCCGCGATTATCGCCTTTATTATTATGAGTCCCGGCCCCCGCACTGCCCAGCTCTTTGCGCCTTAGTTTCCCCCTCTGTGCACACACGGGTCGCGGGGCGCAGAGGAGGCCCCAAACAACTTTGAGCTTCCCGGCCTGGTCGCACAG